CTTCCTGGCCCACAGTCAGGGCAAATCTCTCTCACCCTCCAGTCCCAAGCTGCTCAAACCCGATCAAGTAAACACAGAGACTTATATTGGTTACAAACTGTATGGCCGTGGCAGGCTTCTTGCTAACTGTTCTTACAGCTTAAATTAATCCATTTCTATTAATCTATACCTTGCCACGTGGCTTGTGGTTTACCGGTACTTTACATCTTCCTTGTCCTGATGGCGGCTGGCAGTGTCTCTCTCACTCAGCCTTCCACTTTCCAGCTCTATTCTCCTCCTTGTCCCGCCTATACTTCCTGCCTGGCCACGGGCCAATCAGTGATTTATTTATTGACCAATCAGCAACACATTTGACATACAGACCATCCCATAGCACTTCCCCTTTTCTTTTCTTAAAAAGGAAGGTTTTAACTTTTACATATCTCCAAAGTCAGCTTGGTATATTTGGGAATTTGGGCGTAGCTTCTCTTACTACTTCCTGCTGGAGGGGGGCGCTGTATCTTATGGGGACACAAAGAACATTTTAGGATTATGGAGTAGTCCATGAGGGTGTATCGTCTGAGCCAGTTGCCTTTAAACCATTCTGGATGTTGGATCATCTGGGCCATGGTGTCATCGGAGACCTTTTAGGGGGTCTTGGCTGGTCAAACCTGATGTATCTTAATCTGGAACAAATCTATAGCCTCTGGCTTTCTGTGGGAACAAAAGAGACTCTTTTTCAAAGCAACATATCCTTATATCCAAATTTTGAAGTCAAGGTATCTTTAAAATATATATATTGGTTTAACTCAACAGCTTTTACAATCAAATGTTTTTCTGCAGTTAAAAATCCCAAAGACAACACAATCCAGATTCTCTGTGTAATAGTTATCTTCACGTGGCTTATTTTTTATACTAATTTTATTGTCTCTTAAAAGACTTTATTTTTTAAAACTATGTATTTGTTTCTATACTATATATATCACCTTTTTTGTCTCTTTCAAGCCTACGTATATTTTACACACATTTTAAACTATTACATCTGAATCTGTCTTATTGTGAATCTATTGCTTTAAGCTGCAGCAGCTGTGGCTGCTGGCTCCGCCTACCTCAACTTCCCAACATGGCGGCGGTACTGTAGTTTTCCGCCAGCTTTGGGAGCTATCGTGGGTCTATGCTTTTATCCAAGCAGCGTGTAGTCCAGAAACCTCTTTTTTTGTTTTGTACTAGCAAAGGCTAAATTCACCAAGCAGCTTAATGTGCCACTTGCAGAGGCCTCATTCCCGCCATATGGCGGCAGGTCGAGCGTGCACCCTAGGAACCCACCAGTAGCTGAAACCGGCAGCTGCCGCTCATTTGAGAGAGACAATTAGGAAGCTGTTTTTAGCTCCGTTTTAGAATCTTTTTACTCAGGTTTTTAGGTGGAAACTCTTGCCCCACGTTGGGCGCCATTTGTTGCTAAAGTTTTCCTGCCTGGCCCACAGTCAGGGCAAATCTCTCTCACCCTCCAGTCCCAAGCCGCTAAAACCCGATCAAGTAAACACAGAGACTTATATTGGTTACAAACTGTATGGCCGTGGCAGGCTTCTTGCTAACTGTTCTAACAGCTTAAATTAATCCATTTCTATTAATCTATACCTTGCCACGTGGCTTGTGGCTTACCGGTACTTTACATCTTCCTTGTCCTGATGGCGGCTGGCAGTGTCTCTCTCACTCAGCCTTCCACTTCCCAGCTCTATTCTCCTCCTTGTCCCGCCTATACTTCCTGCCTGGCCACGGGCCAATCAGTGATTTATTTATTGACCAATCAGCAACACATTTGACATACAGACCATCCCATAGCAGATAGGTCTCCAGGCAACCAAAGCTGCAGCAGGCCCTGGTGGGCCTTCTGGGAAAACACAGCTAGGTTCCCACAGAAAGCAAAGAGGAGGGGGGAAGGGCCAGGAAGCAGAGTGGGGGGACCAATGAGGAGGGAAGAATAGGAAGCTGAAAACAGCAAGGGGACCCCACAGGAATGCAACTGGCTCTCCAGAGGAGCTGTGATGAACACTTCACAACAAACTCAAAGCCATACTGAGGTGAGGCCCATCTCCACAGCATGTTACCTCACATCCCAGAACCCCAGTCAGCTCCTTTGTAAAATGGAGACATGAGGAGCCAACAATGTCACACCGCCATCAAGATCCCGTGAACTAACTTTTGTAAAGCAATGACTGACACATTGTAGGTGCTATCAGGAACACATTATGACTTTGTTCAATTTGCTTATTTGTATTTATTATTATTGTGTGTATATGATGTGAGTAGATTCTCTCCTTCTCCCTTTATGTGGGTTTTGAGGATCGAACTCCGGTCACCAGGCTCGCACAGCAAGGGCTTTCCCTGCTGAACCATCTCACTGCCCCCTATGGGGATCTTGCTCTATGAAAGTATTTGAAAACTGTTGAACAATTGTCCAGTAACCCAAGCTGGACTGTACTGAGGGCTGGACTGATCCAGAGCTTTCTCAGAGGCTCTGATGAAGGGACAAAAGGAACCTAGTCTTGTGTCCTTGCTCGGGTGTAGACTTGGCAAGGCCAGGCTGGGGCTGATACCAGGGCCTCAAAGGAGTTAGTTTCAGTTCCTGGGGACTTGACTTTCCCCCTGAAAAGACTTGGTGTTATCATTTCCAAGACTGCTGTGTGCTCAGTCTGTGATGCTCTGGAGATACCTTGTATTCTCCTTGTCCAACACAGCTTGATTAGCCTCGGGCTGATTCTGTCCCACTGTTGACTCTGTCCTGTTTCTCCCCTGGAGATAGTATATAAGATGCTGTACTTCTTTACAGCTTGCTTAGCTTAAGACACAGCTCGTGCAAGACGTCCTGATCAAACACTTTATTATCTTCTCTGTCTTCCATCTCTATCTTCTGATCTGTTCCTCTCTCTCAGGACCTCGTCACTGAAGAATGACCTCCTGGTCCAGGTCAGGACTGTACTGTTTTCTTTTGGTTTTACAAAAGTTAAAGGCTGGGGAGATAGCTCGGTGGGTAAAGTGCTCACCATACAAGCCTGAGGACCTAAATTTAGATCTCCAGATCCCATGTAAAAGTCAGATGAGGCAGTGTGCAATCCCAGCACTCCCGCAGCAAGAAGGGAGGCAGAGACAAGGGATCCCAGGAAGTCTGCAGGCCAGATAGTCTGCCATTTGCAGCAGTGAGCAACAACACACGCATAAATGAGAAACAAAATTTTAAACATAGTCATGGATCTCAAGCAGTATGGTGACCCCTGAGCACTGAGTCAGTCATAGCCAATAGGTAAGTGGCCCTAGAAGTTCTACCTGTCTGTACTGTGTGTGGTGGTTTGAATAGGAACGGCCCCATAGACTCATGCTTGTATGCTTGGTCCATAGGGAGTGGCACTATTTGGAGGCATGGCCTTGTTGGAGGAAGTGTGTCACTGTGGAGGCAGGCTTTGAGGTCATATGTGCTCAAGCCAGGCCTAGTGTGGCAGTTTTCATTTCTGCTGCCTGCTGATCCAGATGCAGAACTCTCAGATCCCTCTCCAGCACCATGTCTGCCTGCACGCTGCCATGTCCCACCATGATGGTAATGGACTAAACCTCTGAAACTGTAAGCCACTCAATTAAATGCTTTCCTTTATAAGAGTTGCCATGGTCATGGTGTCTCTTCACAGGAATAGAACCCTAACTAAGACACTGTGGACGGCAGTGTCCCAGAAAACTGTGATGTGCCGTAGCCTGTAAGGGGTCACTGTCATTCCTTCAGAGTGACCCTACCACTGCTGCCCCCAATAGGTCCAGCATCCCTACTCTTCTCTACTACACGCTGGTTCTCAATGACTACCTTTCCAGTAATGGGCTTCCTCCAGCACTCCCTCTGTGGTACCCAGGTACCACAGAGATGTGGATCTGGCATGTTCTGATGGGATAAACCAATCATACTGGTTCTGGGTGGTGGGCATTCTCAGTCCTGGGTGAGGAAGTTCCTGAGGCCCAAGTAGATGAGGGCAGAGCAGCCAGCTGTAAGGGTAGAGCAATAGCATCCTCAAGTGCCAAAACTTTTCCTCTACTCACTGCCATCTCTGTCTTTCTAGAAGGAAGTCCACCATCCAAGGCATGAGGATTGCCACTGTCACTCGTGGACTTGTGTTTGCCTGAAATTTCTCCTTCTGCTCATAAGAGCCGAAGCTAGTAACATAAATAACTGAATAGCTAGATGTCTTGGTTGGCACATTTATGCCGCCATGGCTTTCTGGCCCACATGACCTAGTTTTGTGATCAGCTACTTCTATCCACACCACCAGCCCAGGCTTCCCTGCCCCCTGCCTGCTCTGCTGAGCTAACCTGGTGCAGCAGGTGGATGTGCCACGTGCCTTGGCATCACCTCAGGCTAGTGGGGCTGCCCTCAGTCCTGCAGCTCTGCTCTGCCTAACAGCCATTCAGAGCCCCATCCAACTACCAGAGCTTTTACTCCAGGGGTTCCCCAAGGTTTCGGCAGGTTGAAAGCAAGTGGCAAGGAGGGCCAAGGCTCTGAACTTGGTGTGGTGGCTGAATAAACAGAGAGCCGGAGACCATGAGACCTAGACCAACATGTAGGTGAGCAGCTTCGCGTCACAGGTCTGGAATCCCGACCCCTTCAAGCTGAAGCTGACCCTAAGTCCAAGGCTCATCATGTGCCGTCCCTGAAACTTGCATATTAAGAACGATACTGCCAAGCCTTTCCACATCGGCCACCCTCCACCCCAGCTGCTCACTCTTCCCCTCACAGAATAAAGGCAAGCGAGCAGGTCCCCAGGAATCACCTGCAGCTTTCCCCAGAAGCAGGGACACAAGTTGCTTAAGGGTAACTCTCCTTGGGACGAGAATATATATTTAAAGACACAAACTGACCATGGAGATCTGGCTGCCCTGGAACTTCCTATGTAGACCAGGCTGGTTCAGAGCTCACAGGGATCTGCTATCTCTTCCTCCTAAAGGCTGGAATTAAATGTGCTGACACACCCAGCTGGGACAAGGAAGTTTAAAAAAGGATTTATTTTTATTATTTTAAATTATATATAGGTATGCGTGTCTGTATGTGTATCTGTGCACAAGAGTGCATTGCCCACTGAGGCCAGAAGTGTCAGAACTCCTGCAGCTGGAGTTACACATGGTTGTGGGTCACCTGACATGGGTGCTGGCAACTAATCTTGGGTCCTCTGGAAGAGCAGCAAGAGTTCTTAACTACTGAGCCATCTTGTCCTAGTGAGTCCCGGGACAAGCGTGTTCAAACCAGTTCCAGCCTGGCTATTCTGAGGAGTTCACAGCACCACCTTGCCAGCGCTGGGACACGCCCTCAATTGTGTCCCGCAGCATCTGCATCCAGTCATCTCCTCTCCGCATCGGGAGGCAGTGGGTCTCCTTGTGCTCCAGGGCTAGGATCTCTGCAGGAGTCTGAGGAGTTAGCCCAGCAGCCTGGACTGCTTCTGGGAATTTGACTGCAGAGGCAGAGGCCAGGCAGCACCGGGAGATGCTCCTGAAGATGGGGCAGGACAGGAGAGAACAGGGAAAAGATGGAGGAAGAAGGACCAGGGGAAAGGTTAGGGGCGGGGCGGGGGGTGGGGCAGAGAGCAGAGACAGACAAAGACATGATTAGTACCTTGAACTTACCCGTCTAAGAAGCCGACAAAGCTTCCCAATGAAGACCCAGCTCAGCCATCACCTCCCCGCATGACCTGGGATATAGTTCACTCCTCTTCTAAACAGTTGTAGTTCTTGGGCACAGAACCCACCACGCTCCCATCATCACTATCCTTAGCCTTGCATGCCCTGCTTGGAGAAGAGCGGTGCCCTCAGTGCCCCAGACCTCCCTGCTGGTACCTGGACTGCCCACTGTCAGTCTGCTGGTAATGGTAGTTCACCGCTGTGGCTGAATGGGGGCATAGCAGGTACTGGTTCTCTTCCCAGCAGCGGCCCATGGTCTGGGTGATGGCCTCATCAGACACTGACTCAGATGTCACCGCCTCTGAAAGCTGAAGGGTCAGGGGACAGGGGTGAATGTTGGGATTGGTGAACCATAGGAGGACTAAAACCCTGCTATATACACAGCCACACCAACGCCAGGAGCTCATATGAATGCTCCAGACTGAATACTGACCCAGCTCAGAGTAAAAGCAATTTCTGAGTTTTGAGCCAATTACAGTTTTGAGCCAACTTAGCAGAAGGATTTATACAAGTTTTGGGTACATCTCAATGTATTTAGATCACGAATCAAATTGTCTCACAGTCTTGTTCTACAGCCAGATACAACACAAGTCATGGGTGTTCAAACCACCTGTGGTGTGAAAACTGCCCTGTCAGTTCTCACCCTGTGTTGGAGCACCTCCCCTGGGAAACCTTCTAGTACTCGAAGGCAGAGGAGGCCTCCCTTCTCAGTGCTCCCTGAGCATTTGGTTTCCAGATAATTTCCTGAAGATGTTCTGCATGCTTACAACATGGCAAACACCCTACAAACAACACCCTCAATGGCATCAGAGACCAAGTGGTTCACAGGTTGTTTATATAGATAGAGTATTTCCTGGGTAGGGTCAGAGATGGCAAACAATATTTTTTCCTCCTTCTCCTCCTCTTCCTCTTCCTCTTCCTCTTTTTCCCAGTTCTGGGGATTGACTGCAGGGCCTAATGCATATGAAGCATGTGCTCTACCACTTAGATGTATCACTCAGTATGATAGCTGTATTTTCTCTTTGTATTTCCAGCACCTAACATAGTTCTTGAACCATAGCAGATAGATAATATGGATAGATGGGTGGTGGATGGATGGATGATGGATGGATGGATGGATGCCCTTCCAGGAAATAAAGCATCCTTTGAGTACAGCCAGGGAGAAAAACGAAGAAACAGAGGATATGGTATCTCCAGGGTTTTTTGTTTGTTTGTTTGTTTTTTTTAATTTTTCCAAGACAGGGTTTCGTTGTGTAACAGTCCTAGCTGTCCTGGAACTCACTTTGTAGACCAGGCTGGCCTTGAACTCACAGAGATCTGCCTGCCTCTGCCTCCCAAGTGTTGGGATTAAAGGCGTGCGCCACCACCACCCAGCTGATGTCTCCAGTTTTAATGGGGATCTCACTGAAATAAGGAGAAGGAATATTGATGTCTGCACAAATCATGGGCCAAACAAACTAATGTTTGGCTATGTCAAGAGCAGCATAGGGCTAGAGAGATGGCTTAGCTATTCAGAGCACTGGCTGCTCTTGTAGAGGACCCAGGCTTGGTTCTCAGCACCCATATGGTGGCTCACAACCATCTGTAACTACCGTTCCAGGAGATATGAGTCCCCTTCTGGCCTCCACAGGCACTGCATGCATAAGGTACACATAAATACACACAGGCAAACACTCATACACATTAAATAAAAATAATGAAAACCTTTTGTTTTAAAAAGCAGTATAGATCAAGGGTATAACTCGGCCCAGATGACTGTGTCCTGTTTTTGAGAAGAACCCTTCAGGAGAGACACTAACCATGGACAATTATGTCATGTAAGAGACTGTTAAAGGAATTGCGAAGGCCAGCTGGGCGGTGGTGGCGCACGCCTTTAATCCCAGCACTCGGGAGGCAGAGCCAGGCGGATCTCTGTGAGTTCGAGGCCAGCCTGGGCTACCAAGTGAGTCCCAGGAAAGGCGCAAAGCTACACAGAGAAACCCTGTCTCGAAAAACCAAAAAAAAAAAAAAAAAAAGGAATTGCGAAGGCCAAGTTGGTAAATAAGGATTCTCCTCAGGTGGAGGACACTGAGGTAAAATCAGGCTGTGCAATCTAGAAGAAGCAATTCTAGAACTTTGTGATGATCGGAGCTGCAGTAAGGAAGCTTGCTCCAGTCACCCAGAGGGGGGCTACAGAGCCAGCATGACCACTGACAGGGAACGAGGTGCAGAAATTAAGATACCCTATAAACTAAGAACCTATCACCAGGCTGCATTCAAATAAAAGCAGCGCTTTCTAACTCGTTCCCTAAAACCAATGAAACTTATTCATTAACTAAATAAAGTCTCTCCTCCTCTAGCGAAGAGACAGAGACAAGGAGGACAAAGGAGAGAGACAAGGGTCAGCCAGAGCCACAGCCTCTGTCCATGTCGGAAGGACAGAATGACTTTGCCCTTGTTGTACAGTTGTTGCTATTATTGGAAATTAACAACAACAATAAATAAAAATAGAAACAGTAGCTGTATGGAGCCATGTATTTCCAGCAGTATGTAAAGTGCCTCCCATGTTTCTTTTGACCCAAATCTCACAGCAACCCTATGAGACAGGCATTCCTATTATCCTCACTGTACAGATGGGGAAACTGAGGTGCGGAATCTATACAACTAGCTTAGTGTTTCACAGCTCTCCTCATTCAATCAGTGTTAGCTGTGAAAGTTCCTGGCTCATAGATGCTCAAAAAACCAGGTCTCGCCGGGCGGTGGTGGCGCACGCCTTTAATCCCAGCACTTGGGAGGCAGAGGCAGGCGGATCTTTGTGAGTTCGAGGCCAGCCTGGTCTAGAGAGCGAGATCCAGGAAAGGCGCAAAGCTGCACAGAGAAACCCTGTCTCGAAAAAACCTAAAAAAAAAAAAAAAAACCAGGTCTCCCCTTCCCTTGTTCAGACTTCCAAACCCCAACTCTGTCCTGTGGCTGCATCCTTTCTGTCCTCCGTGGGATGCTGCTGTAGGAGGCACAGAGGTCTTTGTGCTCACAGATAAGCACTAGGGGTGCCTAGAATGTTAAGCACACAGGGCTGTTCCTTTAAGGGTAGGAATGTAATAACCGCTATCTACCCAGAAGGCTGGATGTGGATGTGTTTACTAGCCTCATGACCTTTGCTCTGTGTGGTAGAGACTTTTCCAGCACTGGATCCTCCCCCAGATCCTTAGCAGTAAATCTACAGAACCGGTCTTTATGGACTTTACAAAGAGTTTTGATGTAGTCACACCTGATCTATATTTATTTAGCTTATTTTGTTCCTCAAGGAGACTTATGTATGCTTTGTTGTGCACACGGGACTGAGTTAATCATCGCAAGAATGATGTTCACCACACTGTGCTGTGCTTAAACATGCCTAAAATAAACCACTAGAGGTCAGACTCCAGACGTTTGAGCCAACACTGTCCACTGAGTCCTGTTGAACTGAACGGCCTTCTTGCTTCCCTCAGATCATTACTCTGCTGGCTCTGGAGACTGCAGACACCCCCCCCACCCCCCCACCCCCTCCCAGGCTTTGGTCAGTGACCAACCTTGCTATGTAGTTCCTTGGGGAGGCTCACACTTTGGGTTCTTTCAAACTGCTCCATGAGCGCTCTTGTTGCCTGGCTGTCAGAGTCAGAGAGCAGCCAGAAGATCCTCTCCATGTTGTAGGGAACCTGAGTGGAGAGACAGGGTCCTAGGCCACCTCATTCCAACCCTTACCCAGTCCCGCTCCACCAGCGGCTGGCCAGACCTGCTCTTCTCCCCACAGGCCCACCTGAATGTCCATAGCGGATGCCAGGGTTGGCTTGACAACCTCACACAGAGAGAAGTCTCCCTTCTGGATAGTCCTGTGGATGATGTCATTGCGGTTCACGGCCACAACCAGGCGGATGGGCAGACCCATCTTCTGAGCAATGCACCCAGCTTGGGACAAGATGAGAAGACACCAGGATTTTAGGACAAAGGCAAAGAATTACTTTTAAATTGAGCTTAATAAAAACAAGCTTTTGGGCTGTTTGAAAATGAGAATAGAGAGAGGGGATGGGCAGAGACACAGGAGGGGGGAGAGGGAGACAAGGAGGAGGGTCACTGTGCCCTGCCTACCAGGGACAAACACACATATAAAGCTTTGTGAGGCAACCCTCCCACTTCAAAAGAGGAAATGAGGTCACCACAGGCCGAATGTCTTGCCCGGATCCTCCCAAACTGCAGAGCTGAGGTCTCTGCATTCCACCTTGCTTTAGGGAGGGTGTCTAACTGTTCACCGCTGACACACCAGGCTGGTGACAGCTTCGGGGCTTCTCCTGTCTGTGTCATCTTGCTGTGGGAGCACGGAGATGACAGATGTGTGCTACCACGTCCAGTTTCATGCCTGAAGATCCAAACTCAGACTTGTGTGGCAAACACGTCCCCTACTGAGTTCTCTCTCCAGGCCCTTACTTTTTGGAGGGGGCGGGGATGTTCACCAACATCAACTTTAATTTTGTAAAGCCCACTCACTCTCTTATGTCACTTGATCCTCATGGAAACATTAGTGTCCTTCAGAGATTAGGAAAAGTGGAGGCTCAGGAGGGCCCGAAGACTTAAGGTGGAATAGGTCCCCAGGAGAAATGCCAGACGGAAATGTCCTCTATGGGTATTGCCCAGGTTTTATTTTGCACCAGGTGCTGTGGAGGGCACAGCTGTAGGTGGCATCTCTAGCTTGAGCGTGACATGAAAGGGAAGCACTGGGTACCACCCTCTGAGTAGTGGGGAAGCCAGCCTTCCTCGCCTAGCTGCCAGCCCATCACCTCTGTCTTCCCGTAAGAAGCCCAGGAGTCTCCCAACCACCACGATGCTTTCGTCATCTCATTCATCCCTGGTGCCTAGAGAAGCAAGGCCAGAGACAGAGCTACCACAAACACCAACACCATTGCCTCCTCAAGAGATGGCAAGGATGGCAGCCTCCCTGGCTGTCAACTTGGCTCACTACCAACCAGCTGTGGAAACAGGGGACAGCTAGCTTCTCTGTGTCCAGTTCCTCATTCTAAAATGCTGAGAACAGTACAGGCGGACCCTGGATACAGGGCTTCCACATCTACAGACTCAAATGACCACAAACCAAAACTATCCGAAAGAGGGTGTGGTGATACACACTATAATCTCAGCATTTGGGAAACCGAGGCAGGGGGATGGAGACTTCCATGGCTAGCCTGAGCTATACTGAATTCAAGGGCTGCTTGAGTTACATAGTGAGAACCTTTCTCAAGAAAAAAAAAATGCGCCTGTATTAAACACATTCAAACTCTTTCTTGCAAATACCCCTTAAAGAACAATGGCCATTTAAATAACATTCACATATTGTATGTTATTCCACATCATCTAGAGGTGATTTAAAGTACTCAGGTGTATGTGCATAGATTATATGCAAACACCATGCCATATTATATAAGGGACTTGAACATCTGCAGATTTTGTAGGGGTCCTAGAACCAATTGTCCATGTACATCAGGAGACAGCATTGTCCTAGTTGCATGAAATCATTAACTCATGAAAAGCACTTAGAACAGCAGCACCTGGTGCATAGTTAATGCTTGAGAACGTCTGTTAGTATTCGGTACCAGGCAGCTGGACAGCACTGTCTCTGTGCAAAGCTCATGTGCACCCAACACTCAGACTTGCTCCCCACAGGCGGCTCTGAGCACGTGATCAGCCAGCCTTTACAGCTAGTAAAGGGCAGAGCCAGGGCCAGACTGCTGAGGCCAGAGTCCTTTCCGCTTCACATGGCCCCAGGGTAGTGAGAACAGTGTGCCACAGCACCAAGCGGGTGTCCCTCAGTAGGCAGTGGGTGGAGCTGGGAGTAAAGTGCAGATTTTGGGAAAGGACACTGAGCTATGATGGTGGTGGAGCTTTGATGTCTGTCTATTAGCCTCTGTGCAAGTGAGCACAGGCTGGGCTGCTGAAACTCCCAGGGTTGAGTCCTCAATCTCCCTCCTCTGCAGGACCCTGGAAAGTTCTGTCCACAGCCTCTCCAAGTCAGAAGAAATCTAGGGAATCCCATGTGGTTTTCTGTTGTCTTTAGACTAAAACACAACCTTCTTTTGCTCCACGTTTGTAGGCAAAAGATAGCTTTTGAAAGACCAGGTACTTTCTGGAAAGTCCATTTGCATCCCAGGGTCTCCTCACCTGCAAGGTTACCCCCAGCCCCTGTTGGCACGACCACCTCCACAGCGGGCAGGGGGTGCGTGTCCAAGGAGGGTACGCACTGGAAGTAAGCGAAGAAGTGGTGTGCCATCTGCACCAGGACCCGAGACCAGTTGATGGAGTTCAAGCTCATCAGGTTGTGCCTCTGGACAAAAGGCACATCCGCAAACACGGCCTTGATGGGCTCATCAAGTTCGTCACTGTTCCCTTCCACTGCCAAGGAGAGAGAAGATGGCAGTTGTCAGGAGCAGGAGAAGCCCCCCGCAGTCACTCTGGGCTCCGCCGAGGCCCTCCCAGGCGGGGCCCATCCTCTCCCATCTGGTCCAGCCTTTGCTTCCCTCACTTTCACATGGCTTGGCCTGGCTTTCCAGGCTCCGTGTAAGCTGCTTGGGGATAGAATACAGGTCACTTTTTCCTGTGACCCTGAGTATTTGTCCTCACTTGGGAGAAAAGAAAATGTGGTCAGAAGCATTTCCAATGTTCCTGCATTCTATAACATAAGACATAAAATGTCAGCCTTCTGGGCTATCGGGAAAAGAATTCCCCTCATATTCCAAGCCTTCACTGTTCCACAAAGGGTATGTCTTCACTCTTCTGGAAAGAAGGAGGGAGTGTTACCCAACTGAAAGATGTGAACTCTATCGGGGCTGGGGGGAATGGTCACTTCTCCCCTGTGAGTGAAGTGTGGGTGTCCTGACCCTGTTTCTATGTGCTAGGTAAGCATGCTGGGCAGAACTTGGCCCTGAAGCTGAGTGTGTACATTGGTTTAATTTGTGTGGCTAATTATTGGGTAAATTATCCACCAGTCTAACATATTAACACCCCAATCGAGCTGCCTCAGTAATTGTACCAGACTGACCCTTACTGTTGTTGGTGGCCCCGCCTATCCCTCTCTTGTCTTGCTATTGGCCATTCAGCTCTTTACTAAACCAATCAGGTATTTTAGACAGGCAAAGTAACATAGTTAAACAAATGCAACATAAAAGAATGCAACACATCTTTGCATCATTAAACAAATATGCCACAGCATAAACAAATGTAACACACCTTAAAATAATATTTCACCACACCTTACCTGACACCTGTATCTAATTCTCCATTTGGATCCATACCTCAAGGTGGGTGGGTGTGAAGGTTACTGGGGGAAGTACCAGGACAGCCGTTCAGGCTATAAACCCTTGTCTCCTCATCACTGTATAGCAGCAATGAAGAGAGGAACCATCTGTAGTCCATGTGTAAACCCCAAGCAGCCTGATCCAGTGGCCCCATTTCTTTGCTAAGGCCAAGCCAATCTGTGCCTGGCATGCCCATGGGGTCAGGAGTTGGGTCCAAGATGGATATATGAGAAGTTCAGGTCACTAAGACTCAGAAGGACATTTACTGGGGTGCTAGAGAAACCACCCCCGCTTTTAAGGATGAGCCACAGGAAAAGGGAGACTTGGTTACCTCAGGTCTCCATACTGTGACCTCAAGAGGAAGGAGCCTAGGACTGTGGGTTCCTGATGGTAATGCTGAGTCTCAGAATCAACCAAGTGAGAGCCTACTTCACCCCTGAACATCCCAGTTACAAAAGCTGGAAACTGTTCTTTCCGATAGTCTGAGCTGGATTTTCTGTTACTTCTGGTTTAAAAAACACACATATACTATAATCAATGAACATCTAGTGTCCACTAAGTACTTGGTGCTCAGGAATCACACAATGTACATGGACATTGTCACCTTTATAAACCAGTGGCTGGGTAAGACGCTTGCCGTGTGTCTTTGTTACTTTTCTATTGCTGTTAGAAGATACTGTGACCAAAGCAACTTGTATAAGAACGGGATTGGGGGGCTTGCAGTTTCAGAGGGTCAGAGTCTGTGACCATTAAGGCTGCAGCACTGGGGGGCAGGCATGGTGCTGGATGAGTGGCTGAGAGTGTACATCCTTGTCCACAAGCAAGAGGGAGAGAAGGAGGGAGGGAGAGAGGGAGGGAGGGAGAGCAAGAGAGCGCTAATTGGGAATGGCTGTGGGCTTCTGAAACCTCAAAGCCCACTCGAGTGAACAACTCTATCAAGGCCACACCGAATCTTTGCCAAGCAGTTCTACTAACTAGGAACCAAGCACTCAAACGTGTAAGCCTATGGGGACCATTCTTACTCAAACCACCACAGTCCACTCCCTGGACCCCATGGGCTTACTGTAGCCACATCACAGTGCAAAATGCATTTTGTCCAACTTCAAAAGTCCCCCACAATCTCAAGACTGTTGAAAAAATCCAAAGCCCAACTCTCTTCTGAGACTCAAGGCACTCTCTTAACTGTAACATCCTGTAAAGTCAATGGCATAGAATATATGGCACATAAATATGACAGCCTGAGTTTGATCTCTGGTGCCCATTTAAAGGTAGAAAAAAAAGAGATGACTCTACAAAGTTGTCCTCTGACCTTCATGGGGTCACTGTGTCATGTGCATCCTTCTCGTCACACACACAATAATGATGATGATGAATTAATAAAGTTTAAACTCAGTGCCCCATGTGGTCCAGCTCTACTCTTCGAGCTTACAAAGGGAAACCACATCTTTCCTATTAGCCCCTGAATCTACATGCATCTTCTTAACAGTCAAACTAGAAGCTTGGAAGAAGGAAAAGAACATGAACAGTACTGCTTATCAACAAACTTGATGTCTTTAAGGCCTACAGAACTATTTCCTTGATGCACAGAACAGAAACACCTTAGCTCTATCGATAATTATGACATGCTACACTTATCATCAACCACACATCTTCCTTCCACTATTTCACAGGTGGGCAATGTTCTCCAGCCCCCAGCAGAAGAGTCCTCCAATGTACCTGTACAAGGCAAGAGAGAAGGACTGTAGTACAAAAATCAATCCTCTGCTTAGCTGGGAAAAGACAGCCCTAGAGCCATGACCAGAAAGCTTGGCATGTGGGAGCCCAAACATTGTTCACTAAAGTCTCACAGTGACCACAGGAAAATGCAGCCAGGTATGAGCAATTACCAAGGCTGATGTGTAGGAGTTTGCCAACAATGGATTAGCCAAACCACAGACTTTGCACTGGAATGCACATGTGCTTGCCAAAGAAAAACGCAGAGGGCCCTTTTCTCTGCACTTGTGCAACTGGACAAAGGGTATTCATGCTGCTCTTATGGTAAGACTTCTTTCCAGTGTCTGAACTCACTGTCAGTGTTGGTATATTAACATCTAATCATCCTCTATGGGGTTTGTCTTAGTTACTGTTCTTTTGTTGTGGAGAGACACCATGGCCAAGGCAATTTATAAAAGGAAGCCTTTAACTGAGGGCTTCTTTACACTCTCAGAGGATTCGTTCTAGATCATCATGGTAGCCAGCAAGCAGGCATGGGACTGGAGCAGTGGCTGAGAGTTTACATCTGATCACAGGCAGAAGGCAGAGGGAGGGGAGAGAGAGAGAGAGAGAGAGAGAGAGAGAGAGAGAGAGAGAGAGAGAGAGAGAGAGAGAGAGAGAGAGAGAGAGAGAGAGAGAGACTGGACCTGGACCTGGCCTGGCCTTTTGAAACTTCAAAACCCACCCCCAGTGACACACTTCCTCTAACAAGGCCATACCTCCTAGTCCTTCCCAAACAGTTCCACTAACTGGGGACCAAGCATTCAAACATACAAGCTTATGGGGGCCATTTTCATTCAAACTACTCAGGATTATACCAGGACCCAGGCAAGTTATAGAAGAAATTTTATTTTTATTTATTTTATCTTATGTGTATGGGTGTTTTGCCTGCATGTATGTCTGTTTACCATGTGCATAGAATGCCCAGAAGGGGGCATCGGATCTCACTGGAACTGCTGTTACAGATGATAGTGAGTTGCCATGTGGGTGGTGAGAATTGAACCCTGTCCTCTAGAAGAGTAGTCAGTGATCTTAACCGCTGAGCCATCTCTCTAGCCCCTTTTATTGATTGACTGATTGGCTGACTGATTGATTGACTGATAGAACACTTCCTGTGTATCAAGTGAATGATCAAAAAACCATGCCAGCCTGCATGGCCAGAGTGTGTAAAACCCCAACCAAGACCCCTAAAGCTACTATTGCCATGGTAAAAACCAAGGTCTTCATTATACAATCAGCTATAATGGAACCGGTAGCAGCCAGCCCAGGGCAGCTTCCTATTTTAATACTTGGCCCTGCTTACATGCATGGACTCTATGGAATGGCATGGACTACCCACACGCACTGACACATTCTCTCAATGATGAAACACAACACTGGAACAGAGCAAGTTGCTTAGCTCGAGTCATGGTTCTGCAGGGCTCCCTGCACGTGACATTGGCAAGGGGACCTGCACAGAGGCAGCACTGACAGTCACCTGAACCAGCTGCAATAGTTCAACACAGTGAGTGCAGGTCTAAAGCCATATGCCAGCTAGTGTGGAAAACCGTGAAGTCAGGAACCGGCCCAGAGCTAAGCCGCGGCACCTCCGTACATGACTAATCCCACCGACGAAAAGAGCCAGGCAGGCCAGGACCACACGGTCCCACACCTACCTCCAAACACATGGACATTCTCCTTCAGCACCGTTGTCATCTGGAGCTCCTGAATCTTTGTGCAATGGCCTTTGGGCAACAGAACGATGATGTCCATATTCTTGGATCCCTGAACACTCTCAATGGCAGCACTTCCCGTGTCCCCAGAAGTTCCTAGGAAGGAGACCGACCCCTCCCTTTAGCACAAGGGGAATAGATGAATGAAACTGACCTTAAAATATTGGTGTTCAATGCAGCAGCAATGGCTTTCGAGTACTTGAAAGATAGGTGCTTAGTACTTAGCCCAGAGTCCGTGGATATGCCGAAAAAATTCAGGATGTCAATGAGTATTCTGTACGCCTAAAAATATTCTGAGAAGGATCCGCGGCCTTCAGCAGTCTGACAAAGGGAACTATGACAGTTAACCCTGTCAACTTGATGTTTAGAGTCACCAGGGAAAACACACCTCTGGACGTGTCTATAAGGGCATTTCCAGAAAGGTTTGAAAAGGGAAGAAGACTAACCCTGAACATGGGTGGCACCACTCTGTGAGCTGTGGTCCCGGACAAAATGAAACCAAGAAAGCGAGCTGAGCACGAGCATCCATGCTATCTGCTTCCTGACTGTGGAGACAATGTGACCAGATGCCCCAGGCTCCTGCCACCAGGCCTTCCCCACCACATGAACTGTACTCTCAGGCTCAGCTGTGAGCACTTCCCTGCGGTGTGAACTCTACTCTCAGGCTCAGCTGTGAGCACTTCCCTGCAGTGTGAACTGCACTCTCAGACTCAGCTGTGAGCACTTCCCTGTGGTGTGAACTGTACTCTCAGGCTCAGCTGTGAGCACTTCCCTGCGGTGTGAACTCTACTCTCAGACTCAGCTGTGAGCACTTCCCTGCGGTGTGAACTGTACTCTCAGACTCAGCTGTGAGCACTTCCCTGCGGTGTGCGGTGTGAACTGTACTCTCAGACTCAGCTGTGAGCACTTCCCTGCGGTGTGAACTGTACTCTCAGACTCAGCTGTGAGCACTTCCCTGCGGTGTGAACTCTACTCTCAGACTCAGCTGTGAGCACTTCCCTGCGGTGTGAACTGTACTCTCAGGCTCAGCTGTGAGCACTTCCCTGCGGTGTGAACTGTACTCTCAGACTCAGCTGTGAGCACTTCCCTGCAGTGTGAACTGTACTCTCAGACTCAGCTGTGAGCACTTCCCTGCAGTGTGAACTGTACTCTCAGGCTCAGCTGTGAGCACTTCCCTGTGGTGTGAACTGTACTCTCAGACTCAGCTGTGAGCACTTCCCTCTGGTGTGAACTGTACTCTCAGACTCAGCTGTGAGCACTTCCCTGTGGTGTGAACTCTACTCTCAGGCTCAGCTGTGAGCACTTCCCTGTGGTGTGAACTGTACTCTCAGACTCAGCTGTGAGCACTTCCCTGTGGTGTGAACTGTACTCTCAGACTCAGCTGTGAGCACTTCCCTGCAGTGTGAACTGTACTCTCAGACTCAGCTGTAATTTTGCTACTGTTGTGAATCACAATGTAAACTGTGTTTTCACATGGTCCTAGGTGACCCCTGTGAAAGGGTCATTCGACCCCCAAAGGGGTCGTGAGCACACAGGTTGAGAACTGCTTATCTAGAAGAACTGATAGCATAAGCCTTAAAGGCTTCAATCAAGGGTGTCTTGTGCATGAGCACACCCCAGCTGGGGTGCTAAAGGACCCTGCCTTCTCCCAACACCCACCTACAACAATGGTGACATGCTTCTTCCTCTTCTGCAGGAAGTACTGCAGGAACTGAGCAGTGCAGGACAGCGACAGGTCCTTAAAGGCATATGTGACCCCATGCCACAGCTCCAGTATGTTCAGCCCATTCCTCAGTCTGCGCAGATGGACCACATCTCTGTGGCGGAATCTGCTGAAGGCTTGGTCAATCAGATCTGTGAGGGTAGAGATTGAACAGCAGGTGAAGGTATTAGCCCTTCAAGTTCTCTTTCTGCCTCTTTAAAGTGTTTATTTACCATTGCCAGCTAAAAAGTCCAGAAAATCTGATCTTAAATGGCATATTTAGGAATAGAATTGTATAGGTCTAGAAAAATCTGGGGGGACATGTATTAAACTGCTCATACATTCCTCTTTAGAATTCCCCAGGGACTAGAACTGGCTTTAGAAAATGTCTTGTTTTCATTTTGCATACTTCTTCATTGGGTCTTTTTATTTTATTTTTATTTATCTTAGGTGAATGGGTGTTTTGGCTACATGTATGTATATGTACCATGTGTGTGCAGTGCCTGAAGAGGCCAGAAGAGGGAGTCAGATCCCCTGGAGCTAGAGTTACAGATGGTTACGAGTCACCATGTGGATTCTGGGAACTGAATCCAGGTCCTCTGGAAAAGCAGCCAGTGTTCTTAATTATTGAACCATCTCTCCAGCTGATTTGAGTCTTTTTATAAGCACATATTTCAATAGAAGATCAAATCATGAATCAAATAAGTCAGTTTCAGCCTCCTAATTTTCTTTCCTAAAGATGGAAGTTTTGTTAGTCTATTTTTGTAATACTAAATCTCACATCTGTGGTGCCAGGACCTGGGCATAGCTGATATACATACAAACTTAGCCACAGTTTAGAACCTAGCTTCCTGAACTGTTGTGCACCACACCTAAGATCTTATGAAAATGTGGAGTCTGTGTCAACAGGTCTGATCTGACTTTGAAATGTCTACCCACTGCCTAGGTAACGCCATCACTGCTGGTCACCAGAACACTGTAGTCCTTTCTCCTCCCCAACTAAAAACCTACCATTACTGTGCAGGTTGGGTTTTGTCAACTCGATACAAACCTAGACACACCTGGGAAGAGAGAATGTCAACTGTGGTACTGCCTCCATCAAATTGGCCTGCAGGCAAATCGGTGGGAATTTTCCTGTTTAATGACTGATGTGGGAGGAGCCCAGCTCCCTGGGGGTGGTGTTACCCCTGGTCAGGTGGTTCAGAGTGTATAAGAAGGAAGGATAAGCAAGCCATGAGGCTCAAGCCAGTAAGCAGTGTTTCTCCATGTCTTCTGCTTCAGTTCCTACCTCCAGGTTCCTGCCTTGACTTCCTGCCCATGACTTCCCTCAGTAATAGAGCATGACCTGAGAGTTGTATGCTGAAAGAAACCTTTTCTTCCCCAAATTGCTTTGGTCATGGTTTTTAATCACAGCAACAGAAAATATTGACTAAAAATACTACCCTGTGGATTTTATTCTTGTCACTCAAAATGTCGCCTGAGAACCAACAGCTGTAGTCCTAAACAGGCACTTAATAGAAGGGCAGGATCCAAATGAGAATGGTTCCTACAGACTCATATGTTTGAATGCTTGGTCCTCAGTTGGTGGAACTGTTTGGGAAGGATTAGGAGGTGTGGCCTTGTTGGAGGAGGTGTGTCACTGGGATGGACTGGGTGGACTTGGAGGTTTCAAAAGCTCATACCATTCTCAGCTAGCTCTCTCTGCCTCATGCTTGTAGATGAAGATGTAAGCTCTCAGCTACTGCTTCAGTGCTATGACTGTAGTCATGCTCCCTACCGTGATGGTCATGGACTCTAACCATCCCAAAGTGTAAGTCCCAAATAAACTCTTTTTTCTATAAGTTGTCTTGATCATGGTGACTTACCACAGCATAGAAAAATAACTAAGACATACACACACACACACCCTACTGAATTAGAGTCTGCTTTTAAAGTTGAGATCCTTGAGGAAAATTAATTACACTTTACAGCTTGAGACAACCTGTCCCAGGACACTCAACAAGACAAAATAGTAATCTAGGTGTCCGGATGAATGAGAGAGACATTCATCAACACTCAAGAATTCTGGACGACTTAAAAATCCTTAATAATTTTGATGTATTTTTTAAAAGTAATAATCAATTTTCAGTGGCGCATTTTGTCATTCATCTCACTGGAGGCGGAACAGAGGAATGAGGAGTCCTGGATAGTCTAATTGTGAAATTCTAGAATCGGGAAAAAGTTTGCAAGGTTTGAGAAAGGCACCTGGGGATTTTCCAGTGGTTGGGTGATGAGTATAACTCAGGGAAGAGGTGTGCAATGCAGAGCTGGGGCGGGGGTGCTGCAGGGGTCTCCTCACCATTTAGGTCCTGTCTTGGGATGAGCTCCAGGCCAATGAAGAGGGCACACAGCTCCTTCACCAGGCTGCGATAGGAAAGCGTGCTCCAGTGGTGCAGGGTCTCTCTGTCCAGCTGTGGGAACTCCTCTGGCACATAGAGGCCCCCATCTGGTGCATAGCCAGAGAAGAGGGCCCCCTCAAAGTTGACCCGTGGGGCCATTCCCCGGGTGCTAGTGTACCACATGATCTGGGAAGCCTGCAGAGGAAGAGTCCCAGAGGCAGCTGGTCTTTGGAGCTCCCTGCACCCCACAGGGTGAAGCTGAGTATCCACAGTCCTCTGATGTAACCTCTGTGCCCCCACTCACTGGAATATGTATTTCAGACATGGCTATGGCGGCCCTAATTTGAATCTCATCTCAGCTTTGCCAAGTCCTTGTGTACATTATGATTCTTCTGATCAAAACAGGAAATTCCACTGAGCCCACTACCTTGAGGTGTAGGTACTAGAGCATGTGGAAAAGAGAATCATAGCCCTTACCAGTGACCAAGAAAACCTTGGCATGGAGAAACATCATAGCAATAGCAGCTAGCTGCCATTTTTGACAGGCTTCTTAGTAGGGAAAAGACCAGAAGATCTGATTGGCAAATGCTGTTGTGGACGTGGGGAAAGGGGGATGTTTATTCACTGTTGGGGGAGTGCAAACCTGTGTAACCACTATAGAAATTGGTGTGGTGATTCCTCAAAAAGCTAGAAATGGATCTACCATATGATCCAGATATACCACTTCTGGACACATTCTTAAAGGACTCTGCAAAGACACTTGCCCATCCATGATTGTTCTAGTCACAATAGCCAGGATATAGAAATAGCCTAGATGAACGGATAATTGGGAGTCTGTCTCCTTCAAGGATGCAGGCTCTGAGAGGCTTCCCATGCTCCAGTAGATAGTCCCACACCCATGTACTAAAAGGACTCAGTGGGGTTTTTTGTTTGCTTATTTGTTTGTTTTGTTTGTCTGTTTGTTTTTTTAAGAGAGTGAGCACATGAAGTTGGGAGGGAAAAGTGGTGGGGAGGAACCAGAGGGGAAAGAATGGGGATGTTTGATCAAAACATATTCCAAGCATTATGAATACTAAATAAAATACATATTTTTTTAAAATTGCAAGTCCCATGTCCCAGGAAACCCTCAGTCTCTGGCAAATCAGGATGATTGGGCATTATTACCAATAACCTGTGGCCTACCTCAGAGCCTAATTCTAGAAGGCCAGCAGTAGACCTTATAGACTGCCTTTGAAACTCTCTAGCCATGGCTAATTGGTTCTGGCTCCTGGTATGGATTCAGGGGGCCTTACGGTCCTTAGACCGAGACAGAGATCACAGCAGAATTTAGGGGTTTCAATGTTAAAGCCCCACAGTAACTAGGGGGTTCATGTGACCATGGATAACTCTCAATACCACTTAGGTGTTTCTACACCCTGCCCATAGAATTCTGTTTTCCTTTTCCTTCCCCTTGGCCTCTGCCTGGCCCTGGAGACGGACCCCGGGCCACTGAGCTCCACCTCTAGTCCTGAAGTCAAGGGTCTCTGACACCTGTGGGTCCATCCTGAGTTCTACATTATCTGCCATGCGCCAGCCACTCTTGCTGCCTACCAATACATGTACATTCACTTTAGGGACAGGGGTGTGCTAAGTTACCTAGCAGGCAAGTCCGAACGTTCGCCATCGCAACATGACTTTGCTCTCTACAAAGTTCAAGCCCCAGAATGGTGACGTCAAGTTACAAGAGTAAGCGAATAAATGAAATCACGTAATGTTTTAAAATCACAATTTCGTTTTGGGCCTCATTCATAGCTATCCTCAGTCATGTGCATTAGCCGTGCCTGAAACCAAGAATATTATTAAATAGAACCGGGGTGGATACTGTCACGCTGGGACAATAGGTACAAACGGAAATGACTTTAGGAATCTGGGATACACAGTCACCCCACACAGGAGTCCATGACAAAGAACAAAATCAAGGCAACCCGAAAGCCCAGTGCAGTGGATAACCAACGCAGGCACACCATCTCAGAAGGCAGAAGCATCTCAGAAGGCAGAAGCATCTCAGAAGGCAGAAGCATCTCAGAAGGCAGAAGCATCCCAGAAGGCCAGAGACTCAGAAATGCCTTCAGTAACCACGGGAAATGCCGAAATGCTGTGGACAGGGTTTGCACCTATGCAAACTGGCCTGAAATCCTTGCTGCATAACTTTATCAGACCGGACTAATGGAAATGCTACAAGCGAGTACTACCCCAAACCCCAATCAAACCAACGGCTGCAGGTGCTGGACAGGACAGAAGCAGGTCGGGCTACAAGGAACAGCTAAAAGGATCATTTCCCCAAAGCCCGGTTCTCAGTGGAATGGACCCTAGGGTACCCGGGCACGGAGGTGGGCTCCAGATTCTGTAACTCAAGAAAAGACATGAACAAGAAACAGAGCGAGGGCCTGGCTTGAACTCAGCTCGTGTCCCTGAATTCTCTAGGAGCAATAAGAAGCTGACCCGGTTAGCACAGAGGCCCAAGCTCCTTACAGGGGTAAGGGCTGTGTCGGTTCTGACCAATCACGTCAAGGGACAGCGTTCCCAGCCTAACAACTACAGGAAACACACCTGATGGTTCAAAAAAAAAAAAAAAAATCAGCTGTACTTTCGTTAGACCGTTGTGTGAGGATTCCGGACTCAGACCTCCGCAGTACATTACTGTGATAATTATTTCTTGAGACTTTTCTGGGTTTTATTCCAGAATGGAGACTGGGCAACAAGCACGATAAATAATAATAACAGTGATATCCGCCTTTGGGCCGGGATTCCGCGTCTGGGATGGTTCCGAGACCCTTGGGGCAGATGGCTACCCTCGGGGTTGGAGTTTAAGGCAGGGCCTGGGCCTGGGAGTGGAGTCTAGAACCGCGGGCGAGTTCGCAGAGGCCTCTGAACACAGCTCACAGCCCTGGGTTTCGGGGTTCTCCCCGCACTACCGAACCCCGGCTGCAGGCGGAAAACACGCAAAATCCTCCCCCGCACGACCCGCTGCCACCCCAAAGCTCCCGGCTGGCGTTAAGACGCCGGCCCGCAAACCAAGCTGAGCTGCCGTGGCTGGGACAGCAGCCAGGACTCGGACACGTCACCGCGGAGAGCGCGGGGGACGTTACCGTGGGGCCGCCGAGCTGCCTGGCTACCCGGGTCGAGTGGGCGACACGCACGGCCCTGCTGTCCCGGAGCCCGAGGTTCCGAGAGAGTTTGAGCGCAAGGTTGGGGAGGAGATCCTCCCGAGGGCGGAAGGGGGGGCGTGGAGGAGGGATGTGGAGGAGGGGTGGAAGAAGGGGGCGTGGAGGAGGGACGTGGAGGAGGGGTGGAAGAAGGGGGCGTGGAGGAGAGGGGAGAGCTACTAGCCTTCGTTCTTGACCAGCGCCTCTCAGGCCCTGGACTTTCTTTTACTCAAGATCTTCCCTGCGACTTAGTAGAATAAAAGCTGGTAAAGTTATGCTTTGTTTTTATTCTTATTGTTTATTTACTTATTTATTTTGAGACAGGGTCTCTCTCTATAGCTCTGGCCTCCCGGAACTTGCTATGATGTCTCCATTCTCTCTCCCCCCCCCCACCCCCCACCCCCAATGCTGAGATTAAAAGCTTTGTTTTGTTTTTAGATGAGAAAACAGAGGGCAACCTGGGAAGAAGGAAGGCCCTTTTGGCCCTTGGCTTTCATGGCTCTGGCCTGTGCTAAAATCCACTAGATGGATGCATCGATTTAGCTTAAAAAAAAAAAAATTCTTAATAGGGTAATACTTTTTATCAGACATAAATCTAGTCTAGGATAAAATCTGACTCAGTCTCTCCCTCTCCCCTTCCTTTTCTCTACCCCCGACCCGCTTCATGGAGCTTCATTACCTTGAAGTCCTGATCTTTGGACTGCATTTTCAGAATGCTGAGATCAGAGGACCTGTGGCACTAACCCCGTATGCAGGGAATCGAACCAGAACTTTGGGCACTCTAGGAGAGCACTTTACCAACTGAGCTGCAGTCCCAGCCTCCAGTTTATTTTTCAGAGTGGAAAAAAGAAAGAACTTGGGGAAATTTTCCTACAAATAATGCCCCAATGTCCTTGGATTCACATTCACACTCCTGAGTAGCGTCTGTTTGAAGACAGGTACAGACTGAGATTTATTTACTCTTGGCCCTGGGCTTGGCCTGGTCCTTGCCCCAGCTGGGTCTCAAGGAGATTCTGGGACTTGTAAAGCATAGACACTCCCCCTGGTGTTGGCCTATCTCCTTCTTCCTCCTGGGGTCTCTGTTTCCTCATAAAAATCAGCATCCCTAAAACAGTGTTCCCTAAGAAGTCTTCACAAGCATCCAAGGACAGCAATGCCATCCGCAGGGCTCTTCCACCAGGCTGTCTGCCCCGCTGGTCAGGCCTCCAGGACAGCACCACCCTGGGGTCAGAGGGCAGCCAGAATATTCTGGGAAGCCTGCTTTGACTGCTCACCAGAGAGAGGTCGAAGGCTGGAGGAACATCTGAGTTAATCATTAGGAGCTGTGCCTGGGGCGTTCAGCACAGGAGCCCCGGAAGACCCAGGAGGAAGGCTGAACTCAGAGCAGCCAGCCCAGCAGAACTGTGGAGTTCATTTCTAGTTTGGACGCACATAAAAGTTTCTTCCATCTTCTTAACAGTCTTCTATTTTAATATATATGTGGATTTTAAAACTATACAGCAATTAGTTCTAACAAAAATCAGACTGGAGCTGGAGAGATGAGTTAGCTGTTCAAAGCATTGACTGCTCTTCTGGAGTTCAGTTCCCACCACCCCCGTGGCAGCTCATAACCGTCTGTAAGTCTAGATGTGGGTTGGGAATGGGGGGTACGACCTGACTCCGCCTTTTGACTTCCACAGGTACCAGGCATGCAAGTGATGCACAGGCATACATGCAGGCAAAACATTCTCACACATAAAATAATAAAAAATAAAAATAAAATAAACAGACCAAGGCATTCTTATTGGCAATCCTGCCCCAAACAGATCAGATCAAATTAGATGTAGCATTTCACAGGCTGTCAAAATTGATTTCAGTTCTGAGGCCACGCACATAATTAACAAAAATACATTAATCGCATTAAGACGACCAAAGAGAGCTGAAAGAAACCACAGGATTCGGAATAACTAAGCAGTGTGTTTTGCTTGTGTTCACAGTGTAAATGGCCGATCTCAGAGCTGCTTTGCTGTGGTGGGAGGAGACTGGACATCTAAGTGAACCCAGTGGGGACACGAAGCTGCTCTGACCGGCTAGAGCTTTGACCAGGACTCACTGCTCCTCTGTCTTTCCTTCTGAGGACTCCGTTTCAGTTTCTAATCAGCCATGCTGGCCTTGATTGTGTTATCAGCCAGCAGAACTCCTTGGTGAGATCTGCAGTTTGGAAGGTCAAGGCTAACTCCACCATCTTCCCCCTCCACACAGTGGGTGGCTGGAAGCCACAGCTGAACCTCAGCCCAAAGTTTTAAACACGAGCCGCAACCTTCTCCTGCTCATCCACCTGAATCTGTAACTTTAAAACACCACGAGGTGCCCTACCCACCAATCAAGTTCCAACCCCAAGTTTCATAAGGATCCCCACCTTCTTCTGATAGAGCCGGGCTAGAACCGACAGCTCCTGGGAGGGCACACAGACTCTAAAGCAGCCCCAGGGTGGACTCCACCAGCCTCAGAAGGTCTCACCTACGCTGGCCACCAACTCACTATGTCCTCAGGGAAGATGACCTGAATTTCTGGTCCTCCTGCCCCCACTCCCATGTGTTAATGAGTCTAGTGTTTTTTGGGGGGCAAGTTTCTGGAATTAGGTAGTGATAATGGTTGCACACATTTGTAAATTTATAAAGGACTGTGAGGTTGTGCGTGCTAAAGAAGTGAAGCTTATGCTATATAAACTATAATTAAATTATATATATATATATATATATATATATATATATCATATAGGAAAAGTGTCATTACTATAGTCAGAGACCTGTCTTAGCACTGACGGGGGTCCCATACCAGATATTTACATTATGGTTCATAACAGTAGCAAATTTGCAGTTGTGAAGTAGCAATGAAATAATTTTATGGTTGGGGTCACCACAGCATGAGGACCTGCATTGAAGGGTCTCAGCATTAGGAAGGTTGAGAACCACTGACATAGAAGGTCATTCTGGAACTCAGTCTTGCCCTTCAGGTCAGGGGTCAGCCCACCCCTGAGACTTGTGATGTCCGAGTCTCTCTCCTTATCGCCCCCCCACTCCTGCCTCCTTCTGTGGATGTGTGGGCACAGGCACTTCTTGAAAGGCAGAGTCAATTAATTCTGCTGGTATCAACCTTGGACTCCTCGGGGCATCTGGGCTGTGAGAAGGAAACAAACCATCACAGCGTGTACAGTACCAAGGTAGTGTGATAACAAGCACACGCTGATTTCCTTTATAGTATAAACGTGTCTCTTTAATGCAGACTGTGGGAACGCCCCCAGTCCTTCCCTGTGTCCCTTATCAACGCCCCCGAGAGGACAAAATAGCAAGAGGAGGGTTTTGACTCCAGCATGGTCTAATTCACCAGTAGCCATTTCTAAACCTCTGGAGAGAAAGCCTCTTCCACTGCTATTTCTTTTCCTTTTCATATTAAAAATATTTTCTTTTAAATTATGTGTCTCTTTGTGTGTCTGTGTGGAGGTATGTTCACATGAGTGCAGGTGCCCATGGAAGCCAGAAGAAGGTGTTAGATTCCCCTGGAATTGTAGTTACAGACGGTTGTGAGCCAGTCCATGTGGGTGTTAGGAAGTGAAGTCAGGGTCCCCGGAAGAGCAGCCAGGGCTCTTAACCACTGAGCCATCCCCTCCAGCCACAGAATAATTCTTATACATATTAATTATGTGCTCTTTCCTACCTCTCCAAATAAATTCTTGCAATGCTGAATTTAATTAGAACAGCATTTATACAAGTCAGGAGATGCCTTTAATATTTTGATATCTGGTTTAACTCACTAACTTTTGAGATGGCAACATAGTATATTTGAGAACGACACAACTAGTCTTGCACTTATTTCTACATTCTGGTTGTTCCTTTACTATCTGAGGAGTGTATGTGTGTGTGTGTGTGTGTGTGTGTGTGTGTGTGTGTGTGTGTGTGTGTGTGTGTGTTAGTCTTTTTAAAAATAGTTTTAAACATTTTATTATTTTTGTCTATGTGTATGAGCATTTGCTTGCATGTATGTCTGTGTACCATGTGCATGCCCGGTGCCCATGGAGGCCAAAAGAAGGCATCAGATCCCCTGGAACTGAAGCTACAGATATTTATGAGCCAACATATGGATTCTGGGACTCAAGCCTGGGTTCTCTGCAAGAACAGCCAATGGTCTTAACTGCTGAGCTGTTCTCTGTCCCAAATGTGTGTGTTTAGAGATATTTGCTATGAGGGCCTGAACTGATTTCTCAGTCACATCTCTTTCCTTCTCCTGATCCACATTAAGCATCACTCTGTGTGCATGAAAGTGAGCCAAATTCAAAGGTATGTTTGTTCATACAAATAGGAAAAATATACTTACCCAGTTATCCCTACTAGTGCAGAATGAAGTTAGTACTGAAATTAGGTGTTTTATAGGCTGTGTTTTTCTCTTGTGTTCTGAGATTATTCACGAAGCAAATCTCTTGGGGAGTGGGCAGGCCAGACTGATTTCCTTGGAGTGTTAGAAATGTCTCTGCCTTGAGGAAGAGACTCTCTCCAGTTTCCAAGGACTTAGCAACTCAGACCTACCCTCTGTTCTGAAACCTTGAATTGTAGAGAACTTAGAATTGAATAGAACATTTGCTGGGGAGATGGCTCAGTGTGTAAAGTATTTCCATACAAGTGTGAGGACATGAGTCCCAATCCCTAGAGCTTAGGAGAAAGCCAGATGTAGTAGCAGGAATGTTTGAATCCCAAAGCTGAGATGAATCTCAAAGTGAGAGGTGGAGACAAGAGACTCTTTGGAAGCTCAGGGTAGTTGTCTGGCTTATGCATCATTGACAGGACCCTGTCTCAAATAATAGTATCTACATGGATACTAGTACACATGGTCACATACATACAAGTATGGAATCTTATTGCAGACTCTCTCCCTCTCTCCCCAAATACCTGAAGGTAGAGTGG